TTTCAATTTCTGTTTTTCTATCTATTTCTTCATTTTCTTTTGTTATTCTTATCATAACAGTTAAATTATCTTCTAGTTTTACTGTTTCTTTATCTAACATTAAATTTAGATTGTCACCTATTTTCTTATATCTTCTTCCTAGATTAGAAAATATTATTTTTATTTTTAATCCGTCATAGTTTTCATATGTTTTTCATCTATTGCGTATTCTTCCTTATTCATTTATAGATTGTGTTGAAGTTTATATTCTAAACTTTCTATTTGTATTTCTAGATAAAAAATAGTTTTTCTCTGTGCTATTATTAGATTTTTTTACAAATTCCTGCGAATGTGTTATTATTAAGTCTATTTTGCCTATGTTCTAATTCTTGTCACATGAAAGCGATTCAGTAGTGAGATCTTTCCAAAGTGATGGTAAGAGATACAGATCGAGCAATCTCAATATAGCCCAAAAACTTTATTACCATTGATTGTTTCGAAATGGGCATACATAAATAATTTTAATCTCTGATACGAATAAAATAAATGGGTTTTGAATTTTATTTCCTTATGTAAAAGTTTAGATAGGGTTTGAAGCTTAAATTATGACAAGAAGATTTGCTACCGACTTGTCCGAGATGAACCACTTGTCGAAACTGTGGAAAAACCCCACAAATCAGTTGTTGAAGTTGTCGGAGATGAGGCTCTCGTCGGAGATGACCCACTCGTCCTGGTGGTGATAGTCGTTCTTTTGCTAGAGACAACCCACACTCTCAGTTTTGAAACTCAAGAGATTGTACACTTAAAATTGTAAAGGGTAATAAGATGTGGGTTAAGGATTTGATGCAACCCACTAGTTCTAGAAAAGTCCTCAATTTTAGAATTAAGAATTACTTTTAAAATAAAATAAAATAAAAATCGTGGGATTATAAAATCAGTGGAGGGAAAATATATTTGGGCCAAAACCGTACCGATAGATCTTTTTTAAATAAGAACCGTTCCTATAGAGTTTTATATTACAACGGTTTCTATAATCGTTGCAAAAAGTACCTTTATAGCTACGGTTATGCATTAATACAACAGCTCATTTTAACAAGTGTTGTAGTAGGTGTAACGATCTTCGTCAACGGTTAAAACTGTTGCAAGTTCCTATTTATAGCAATAGTTACTAAACCGTTGCAAAATCATTGTTACCGTAGGTCATATTTCTAGTAGTGACGATTCTTGTTCGCATTACTATTATCCAACACTTTTGGTTATCAATATTGATCTGGAAACCTCATTGGCACATGACAAACACCATCAAGGATATTAAAAATGTTCTGCAGCATACACGTTAACTGTCGATGTCAACATTTAATAATATAAACAAGTCAATCAAGGAACAAATGCATTAGTTAAATGGAGTATTGAGTTTCATAAACAAAGAATCTAAATCTTCAGGTCATTAGAAAAGAAATATAATAGATAGGAATACTTAAATTCAAACACATTCATATTTCAAGTAAGTATCAAGTTGAAAACCTCACTGATACCTTTTAAAACGAACTTACATGTCTAGTATCAAGCTTCTTCATGTTGGGCTCATCCTGACACGAGCTTACATGTCCTAGTATCAAGCTTCTTCATGTTGGGCTCGTCCTAACACGACCTTACATGTCTAGTATCAAATAGAAAAGGCAACATTCGAGGAGAAAACATTTTAGAAGATGCCTGATCGTCAGTTAAAAGCCAAAATGGAGTTGGCCAGAAAATATCTGCATATTCGCGGAAGGATGACAATGAACCAAGTTTACCATCTTGTAAGGTAATGATACCTGTGAGTTGATCATGTAATCCTTTATATCTAAGTTTCACTTCCTCGCTAAGGTCATTTCCCGAGATGTCCACAATTATATCTCCATTCTTATAGTAAATACAGTTTCCTCTGCACTGATCACCAAAATCTGATGAAGAAACAGAGAAACAACAGTCGTCACCAGCAAAGAAAATTCGATCACCCAAGGTATGCACTGCAATCCACTCATGTTGTTCTTCATCAAGCCAGTAAATCTTAATTTCCATGGGATTGTTCCTTGAAGGTCCAGAACCCTGCAACTCCGTCTTAACATCAGTATCCAAAAACATATCAACCAGAAACAACTTCCCATCTGATTCCACCAGTCGTTTCTTACTACCCCATTCGTTAAATAAGCTTGAAGATAATATCTTTACGGTGGAAGATACATTGGTCTCGTTAAACGAGAAGGGGTCATACATTATGGTCTCTCCAAAAGTATCAACAACATAAAAATTCCCTTTATACACACTAATATCGACAATCTTACTAAGAGTGAGATCTTTCAAGGTAGTCCATTTCTCATCCCCTGACTTAAAACACAATAAGTGATCCAAAACATTAATTGCCATTACAGAAAAATGAGTGGTTTGATCATTACAAATAGGCAAGATTTTTTTAAATATACCCCATCCGGCATAAGGGTGACAATTTAAGACACAATGCACATGATAGAATTTACAAACTTGAGAAACACGTATATCTAGTAAATTCAATTTCTTATCAGGCAAATCATCGATTACTCTGTTGGTTAGAGGATTGAAAATCTTCAATTTTCCGTTTGATGTTTTTAGAATCTTGACCAACCAGCCTGTGTGAGGAGGATGAGGAAGTTGGAAAAGATAAACTGTGCATTCAATTAAATAACAATGAGGATTGATGGGTAATTTGATGGGAAACTGAGATTTGGGGATTTTGAAATTAGGAGAAAATGCTGAACGCCATGAACTGCAGACTGCACGAATGCGAAGGACATCAATATTGCTGTTGACGAATTTACTAATTCTTTCAACAAGTTCTTTCGGAAGATCAGACCAAGGAGCCATGGCTTCCATAATAAAACCCTGCAAAGCCTTTTCAATCGGCGTTAAGAATGACAAAGTTGAATTACAATCCTAACTAATTGAATAACATATTTAATATCCGAATGAGAAATAAAAAAATTAATTAGTAACGAATTAATGATTAATTATACTTCTCATTAATCAATGACTCTATAACTAATGGGATATTGCATTCCTTGTTATGCTCCGAATCAGTTTCTTTTCCTTCCGTAATTTTAGTGATTTCCGTAAATTATAAAATTAATGATTTAGATAATTTCTTTTAATTAATTTCGTTTTTTATTTTCCTTAAGATAGATGAGATTTTAACTACGAAATATAATTTTTAAATTTTTAGTGATTTCATTGATTTTGTTTTTTTATTAGTGAAATGAATTTTCTGTGCTTTATCTTTAATAGGGAACTTGATCACGGTATTAGTTTACATGATGATTTTTATTAATAACAAAATATTAAAATAACAGAAAGGATAGTTTTAACATATTTCAACCTTATTTTAATTAAATAAAAGGGAATCATATGGTAACAACAATAGAGAACAATTGAAAGAAATAAAAAGCTATAATAGATATTTATTTTTCTTCATTAATTAATAAAGAAGAGGAGAAATCAAATATGGAAAAATTACCTAACTACACATCATTTATTATCATATTTTCTAATTTTCCCTACCATTTCAGAAAATATCAAAAATCCCTTTTTTTGCTCCCATCATTCATTTTTTCGGATACATTAATTTGAAATCTCCTACCCATGATTTTCCTTCCTTTTTTCACTCCATAAATCTCTCCAAAGTTACTTTCATTAATCTATTTTTGAATTTCAAATCTTCTCTTTCCGATTAATGAATTTAATAGTATAATTCATTACATATATTTTCTTTCTTGTTCCACGTTACTGGGGGACATCTTTTATTGTATAATTGTAAGTTTTTTATATCAAAATTTTTGAATTAAGTGAGCGTTTGATAATAGATTTTGTATCAGATTTTAAAAATCTATCCTAAAAAGAAAAAGTTCCAGTTTCACTTATAAAAATTTCAAGTTTTAAAAATCACAATTTTAAAAACTCAAATTTTTAAGTTTCAAACTTCAAAATCTACGACAAACCAAAGCTCAATATCCATGGGTACGTTTTCAACCTTGATTATAGCTCGTTAAAGACTTGCTCATTTGCAAGATTTCCAAAGAGTGCATTTATGAGGAAATTAGTAATGGAAAGTGACCATTCAATAATTTTTTATTATTAGCCTTTAAGGCAGGGGAGTTACTCCTCAGCTGAGAATCCTCCAAAATTCCTTATAAATCCTAACTCCCAAAAATAATGTTTATCCTTTCCTTATTTCACTTCACAAATCACTTCCTATTTTTAGTCACACAATCTCAGCAATTATTTTCTCATTCACGTTTAATATTCAAAATCAATTTCTCAACTGTCAAAACTATTTCAACTTCAATTTAGGTATCTCCTCACTGTTCATCTTTTGATTTTTCATTTTTTTGTGTTCTTGAAAACGCTGATACATAATTTAATCTTGGATCTTAAATTAATCTTTATTAGTGTTATTACTTATTTGATACATCACTACTACAATCTTTTTTTGTTCTATGCATATGATACTTAATTTTCAATGTATCTAGTTTATTTTGATAAAGCACTGTGTATCAAATTAAGTATCTTGATACATAAATACGTAAAAATTGATAATATTATTGTATCAAATACATGATTATCAACTACAAAATGATACATTTATAGATACACTTTATTTTAGCTTACATACACCTTGTTTCACAACCTTATTGTATCAGATACATTAATATAAACTATAAAATAATACATTATATAAAAAAAATGTATCTTAACAACTTGAATGCTTCTACAATTGCATATTTATCTTTCAAGGCAAACAATGTACTTCTTCCAGAATCATAGACTGAATAAAGATACTCAGATGATGCAACAACCCGTTAACATTAAAGAAATTAGTGATACATTCCATAAAACAGATATTTCTATGAATCAATCACAAACAACTAACTGATACTTAATATCAGGTGCAAAATATAACTATAATCTGATACATACCCTCATTCTTGACTATTTTGATGCTTTTACAACAAATTACATGTACAATGTATCATTTATAAAATATAGTATTTCACAAACACAACAAGATACCAAAATAGTAATGTATCATGCTAAATATTTGATCATGATACAATAATTTAAATTAATACTACATGTATCACACAGTAAAGTAATCTGTTGATCTCTAAGCAAACACTTTAAATGCAAAATTACTTATTTAATGTATCTAATTAATAGTAGTATAGTACTTATCAATTTATACAAGATACATAAATACTAATGTATCACGATTGTATAGTCATCTTGAAAACACAAACAAAAAAATCAAATTAATAACACAATATATGTAATTTCATACCTCCGATTGTCAGATCTATTTTACGATGAAACTAAAACTCTTATCTATTTTATACATTACAAATCGAGGCTCATATTTTTTCCATATTCTTGAATGTCAGATTTTTTTTTCTTCAGATTCTTCATTGTCTCAACAAAATCAAAATATTTATGATGTATCTTCTCAAAAAAAATTTGATAATTTTGAATCAAAATTGAAAGGATCTTCGACGAATTGGGAGAAGAAATTTGAAATTCATCACTTATGTATCGTTCATAACTCACCTTGTTTTCCCAGATTCTTGAATGTATTCATCACGTATCAGTTATTGTTTTCGACTTTTTTAATACATTACGACTTGGGTAAGAATTGAAAGAAGAAAATTTGAATTTTGAATTGAAGGTGGGTGGATTTGAAAGAGAAATGAAAGAAGAAAATTTTAATTTTAATTTTAATTTGATTGAATCTTTTTTAAGATTTGGGAGAGATTGAAATCAACTAGATTAGTGTAATTTGTGGAACTCGCAATCAATTTTATATTCTCTTTCCTTTAAAAGTGTAACTGAATTTGTTTTAATGTATCAGATTTAGTGTATCCGGCTTGTTTGCTATGTATCCGGATAGCATTGATTTTGAAGGATTTTTGTAAATGGAAAAAGAGTAGGGATAAAATGTAATTTATGTCCTTACACTATGTGATTTATGTAAGTTATACATCAAATATTGATCTAAATTTTTGGTGTAATAAAAATCCTTACTAAGTGAAATTTAATATAGTCTTTTGATAAAAGACTTTATGATAGAATACATTTCAATAACCTTATAAATATAGTCATTTTTGTAAGTTGCTCATTCTTATTTCATGTTTTGGACATATATATTTTGCGGTTGGCTTATCGGTTACGGTTCGATTTTGAACACTCCTAGTATCTGATAGTAAAAATACATGTATCTTCCTTAATATAGTAGAAAACTCTTAATAGTACAACACCACATGGTTAAAGTAAAATCTTTGTTGACCCTAAATAAAAATGATGTATTTCTACGTTTAATACCTTTTTCTGTTTCAAAATAATTGAAATATTGAGATATTTTTCATATTTCAAATTAATTTAATTGTTCAATTTTCAAGACTACTTTTTGAATATTCTTTCATTTAAATTTTCTATGAAGAAACTTTAATTGTTTTGAATTATTCTAAAGATCAATTTGACAATAATTAATAAGGGTAAAAAATGGAAAGTAATGTCTAATTTATGTCTTAATATTCTTTTCTTAAAGGGGTATGAAACATCCCAACAATTCAATTATTTTGAAATTGAGGGAGTAATAATTAAATTTTAAAACGTCAATTTTATCTTTAGTGAGATTATTTCAAGTCACACAAACAAATACGATTTGACATATCTTAAAAGAAAATTCATGGATTTATACACATGTAAAATTTAGATAGTTTTGAATATCTACATCATGGTCATGTCATGATCACTCCAATAGTTCATTGCTACCTAAAGCCAGCCAATGTTCTTTTGGATGAAGATATGGTGGCTCATTTTGGCATCTCTAAAATTGTAGCCGTAAGCAAGTCCATGGCACATACCGAGACATTGGGAACTCTTGGATACATTGCACCATGTATACTAAAATTATAACCTATGTTTCTTTATTCGTAACTATGTTTTGAATGCTTGAATAAATCAGTATTAAATTACCAGGAACATCACCTGTCTGTCTGTCACTTTTTCCCATTACATAGTTTTGTATGGGTTCCAAAAACCATTTGACACTACTCCACGTGAAGCATCGCTTTGAAGGATCAATCGGAGTAGCTAGCTAGCTAGCTCCACCATGTTTATCTTAGTTATTGCTTATGCGTCTAGACGTACGCAAAATTATAATAATAATGTGTTTTGATTTAGTGGAGATCTGCTCCGATGCCTGCTGGAGATGAACTCCTATCTATGCTAATTATGTGTATTTGCTATGATTGCGTGTCTGGTAAACATGTTAAGTATGCTTTTGATGATGATAATATAATAAATAAAAATATGTTTAATTTGTATTAATTTAATAGGATAGTGACTTAAAATTTAGTTTTTAGAGGTCAATTAGAAAATAAGAAATTGTATTATTTTTTATTGAACCATTTTCATTTATTATCTTGAATATTTTAGTAGCTTTAAAGAAATTATCTAAATAAACAATACTCTATCACTCTTATAACATGTAAAAAGTTAAAATCAAGTTTGAACCCACATAAAATCAAATATACCCGCAACCTGCCACACCCCGCATATTTTTTAAAAAACCCACTTCAACCTGCTCTATATCGCCCTGCATCCGTCCCTCCCCATTATCATCCTTACTTCAAAGCCTGATATTCGAAATCCCCACTTCAACCCGCTCCATATAGCCTTAAACGAGTCTCATGGTTTCTTGAGGGCGAAAAATGTATTAGGAGTGGGTTCTAAGGTTAGATGAGTGTGTATAATAATTAATTTAGGAGAAAATTTTAAGTGGAATAAATATATCCGCGTACGCATGCCACATAGGATAATAAAGTGG